TATAGATAAAGTACACTAAAACATCGGTTATGTTCACTCGACTTCCAAGTAATATACTTCACTTAAGATTATCAGTCTCAGAGCGGCGCGACAGTTGGATAGGACCCATAAAGAACAGCTTGCTAGGCTATTGATAATCAAAACGCATTTGCAGTCATCTGATAATGGCTCAATAAGCCAATCCTTATCTAAAAGATAATTCGTGCTGAGTTAATGTACCTTTAGTTTTTGAGTATTTATTTTACGAAATTTAGCTCTACTTAACACTTTCAAATAAGGAGAAAACTAATAATTCCACATTCAAAGCCAGAAATAGCTTAAAACAGTGCTACACAATTTTTGTTTCTTGGTTAAACTAGAAAACGCCGTAGCGAAAACGATGCGTCTGCGAAAAACTGTTTGGATGCTAACCAAATATTAATGTTATCAACGTTCTAGTGCACGAGAGAGAATATGGCTGTTTTGTGCGACAAAAGTGAGCTAAAATAAGTCTTATTTTGAAATAGAAAAATAACCGTAAAGGGTAACTAATCAAGAGCAACACAGTTACATCTATATGGGAAAGATAAAACTGTGCATGGGACACATGCTGCAGGCTTGCAGGATGACTAGAACACGACAGGGAGCGATCGAAACAAGTTAACGAACAGGGTAACGCGGGAAAGCAACGGAAAGTAGATATAGGTCTTCTGAAACAGAGTAACGCCAGAACTGGAACGAGAAAACTGCAGACAACGGTACCGACCTAACGGGATGATACAACAAGATAATAAAGAGACTACAGCAACGAGTTCGAGTTTAGAACTCAGGTATAGGTCAAGCAGTTGCTTATGAATTTCCTTTACTTGTGAATACAATTGTTTCCAAAGTACATAATAAGCTTCACCGACTATATATCTTCCATTATGCTCCGGCTATCGGTTATACTCAACTATTCTTAACTGGAAATTGAAAACCTATAATAAGGATCCTTTCGACTAATGTTACCATAGAAGTAATTCAAAAACGCGCGCGCTACGGCTCTCGCTCTCGGCGCGTTCGATTCTCACGTAGTGCCCATAGTGCGTCCATTCTATCGACCATATGTTCCGTGAAGTGCTGCTGTAGTGGTACAGTGAAAGTGTTGAAGTGTCGAATCAAACACTTCCCATTTTTGCAACGTGATTTTTCCAGTGCAGATTTGTACAGATGTAAGCGATAGAGCCCCACAAGTGTATAGTTGGCCACGTGAGTGGGCCAAACACCCGCTCCGGAACTTGTTTTTGTAGAACAAGGGACTAAAATTGTCAGCCCTCTCATGATTGCAAAAAGCACTACTGCTTTATTCCTCTATATTATTCTTTCTCTTACTTCTTACTCAGTGGTTCACAGTTTTCCATTGTTGACCGCATTCATCATTTTGGCCAGTTGCAAAAAAGCTAGTGAGTATTGTGTATATATTGTAAAATTGTCCATTTTATCCCAAAACTGCACATCAACATTTGTTGTGATCAATAGAACTCAGAACGATACTCCGATTTATCTCCAGCCCTGCAAGATTAGTGGGTGGTCTGATTTCACATCGATTAGCTTGGTTAGTAGTATTTGCTTACCAGCGCCAATGCCATAAACGAATTTGAATCGAGCTCAATAAAAGTGACGGAACTGGCCATGCTCAAACGATCCAATGAGGTGAAGAAAAAAATAGGTGAACTACCTGGCAGAAAGCTTCCTTCAATCGAAGCAGCTCTATTGTGCGTAAAAGTACATAATCATCATCATCATCAGGTGCGGTAATGCGGAGCCAAAAATAGTATCCTCTTTGTCAGCATTGGTGCTCACACATTTAGTTTGAATAGATTTGCCTGCAATGAAAGAAGATTACGAGTATATAAGGTCATCGAATTTATCATCTCAACGGTATCAATAGAAGAAATCGAAATTCTCACGTCGCTGTCTGCAGTGAATAGTCGATTACATAACGCTAGTGACTACAAGCTGATCTCGTTGCTGACGAAATCCCATCATATCTAATCAATTCAAATTATGGGACAGACTCTGTAACCGAACTAGATGAACAACATCGTATAGTCATTAAACCAAATCATCGTGCTTTCAAAAAAACGACCGAATACTGGATAGTTCAGGTGTGAATAATTTAGTTATTTGTTGATCGGTGGGAGGCTCGGAGAACCTCTGCTCATAGCAGCAATGAATCAACCCAGCATCGGCGACAAACTGGCTCTCACCGGAAAGGTTCGTGAAACTGTACCATGCATTATAATATTGGTTTACACTATCTTCATTTAACTCAATTAATTAAGCTTAATTAACCAAAAGCTATGCAAGCTTCATTATGTTTGTACACAGCTTGCTTCTGTACTTAAACCTTGGGAGCCTGCCCAAGTATATATTATTCTACATTAGCGCTATTTATGATTATGCAAACGTGAGCATCAGTAGTAGAACAAACAGGCCAAATGGGATACGAACGACAGGTTTAAGATGACTGCTTATTGCGTTAGTTAGCTCCGTATGCCTATTTTTCTGCAATGAGAGTAGTAAAATAAGAACGGTCCCATTGAAAAGAATTATAATATAGATAAGTACACGTTGGCCCTCACTTTATCGCTTCAGAAGACTTAGCTCATTTTTATATTTATTAGCTCTACAAGGTAAATATATCTCTATAGCAACAACTAACAACAAGAATTTCTCCACAGAAATTGGTTTTAAAATGACCTGAATAGAGTTGTTTATTATATGCTTTTACGGCGGTAGCACGCAGTCCAAACAGGATAAACACGTATCAAGTGGTATAATCCTGATTTTTTTCAGAGCCTATCAGCTGTAGGTCACTTACAGCTAGGTTGCCCAACGAAAGTTGAGAGCTCCAATATATTTTATTAATTCTTTGGGTTACGTCCTTCTTATAGTTACTCCGTAGCCTTTATTTGCGAAGGCGATATTCACGATATTTATTGAAAAAGTCCAAAGCGCTCTTATAACGAAAAAGCTTCTGTTTAATCAGATATTAATTCCTCAATCAATATGCTGATTAGAATAGCTCTTCATGCAATAAAAAACACCTCCTATGAGGAATAATGTAGGAATTCACCTATACAACACATACTTTGTTTGATATAGGGTGTTTGAAGGCTGATAGCATCAATTAAGAGTCATTAAAACGTATGATCGAGGAAACCCAGATTTTCTGATTGTTAATGCAGGATACTTTAAAGGTTTTATTCTTATAATAAGATAATAACTATCTGTTTTAATTATCTATAGGTGACGGAATTAAAGCTGGGTAAAAGCTTCGATTCGGGAGTGAATCAAATGAATCCAGCCTTTCATACTTTCCGATGTAAGAACTCTTATAAACTTAATCAATAGTAGTAAATAAATACTATAAAATGCAAATATATTATTGTAAAGAGTACATTTATGAATTAAAATGTATGCAATCTATTTTCTATAAATGCAAGTCTGTCATTTTTTGGCGTCATATTTTCTATTGGTTGATTCTTTTACCGGTGCTATTAATGATTTCATCGAATACCGGGCATGGAACGTTGCGGGAAATGACGTTGTGGCTCTCGCTTGAAATTTTACATTTTGCTACCCAACGCGTCCAAATTTTACAATTTCTATCATTGGTTTTTCTTATTTCCAGACGATTTCAAGCCGGCTTCTGTGGATCCGACACAGATGGCCCGCGTTGACGTTGAGCAGCGAAATCAAGTATCTGTAACTGTGCCTCACCACGATTCCAACGCATCCACCGTTTTTCGAGGTTGGTCACCGCTGAAATTCGATGGCCTTCGATTCGATTAAGTTCACTCTTGTTTTTTAGGTAATTTGTTTACAGTGGTAATTGAACTTGTTTTTGAACTGTTTAAACAATGAACGAACTCTTGTCTAACTGCCTAAAGTACTCGATCTGGACTTTTTATGTCATCTTTAATCTTCGTATTTATTTCGTACTGTCAGGGGGTCAGCGTCCATACCAAAAAGAATGCGTCCTTATCATAGACCATCGAACTGGTGAAGTTACTCTGGAAAAGTTAAGCTGTGAGTAACAAATGTACACTTGCTAACAAATGATCACAATCGTATACACATAATGACAACAATACCCCTACCATCTTTCGAGACCTAAACTATGACACACACGAAAATAGAGATAAAATTCACTAGATGGTGTTGTTTATGTAAATATATTTTTAAAGCCAGTATGTCCGTAACTAAAAAACTTCTATATAGCGTTTCCCAAATCATTTAACCCTACCTAGTACGTGTAGCGGACATATAAACATTTCCTTCAATATGTTGCCATACCTAACGTTCTTTGTCTACCGCTGTAGGCAATGTTCAACTTAAGAAGACTCGTGCTGAAGGTTCGTCAAAGGTATCTCTCAGCGCGCAACTTGGAGGCGCAGGTCCTGCAAGCCATGGTAGACCTCTTACTCCAAGTACAGCTGGACAACAGCAAAGTAAGCAGATGACTTGATGATGCCAAACCTTTCTTGTGCAGCTTAGAAATAATTTTCAGCTTTTTGCTTCGGTGATTTTGTAAATTAAAGTTAAAAAGTGAGAAACAGCTCATAATTTACTATTTGACATTTATTTACAGGTGGGCAGCTATTATCGGGCGGTCAAAGCAACGATGGAGTCGATCAGTTAAATTGCAAAATGAAGCGGCCTTCGCCTCCAATGCCTCCGCAAAGGTTGATATACTAAAAGATCTATCCTATATGCACAAACAATCGTTAATAAAAAACAAACCATGATTCGTTTTAGTAGCCGTTTCTGCGCAGCCGTGCGCCAGTATCAATATAAACGATTTGTTCAAATAAGCAATATGACCCAATCAATTGAAAATCTAATTTTTTTATAGTCCACATTACTGAGGAAATTACGGTTTTCCTGGTATTCTTGTTTGTTTATTATCTTTTTAGAGCCCATATGAGCTCCCCGGTTAATAGTGGGACTGGCAAGCAACGAATCAGTCCTGCCGCCGGATCTGCAAGTAGTAGTAACGTGACGAGTTTACAACAGTCAGTCGGATCTTCTTCAAAGCAGGGTGAGAGTTCTTTACATCTTGCATTTCGGATATTTTTAGCGACATCTGAGTTAAATGTGTTTTGCTGAATACTGCTCAAACGCTGAAGTACATACTAAACCCTAATCAGGTTATCATATATACACATTGCGTGCGCAGATATATGCATGTTCGACTGTACAACTCGAATAAAGATGTTCCTCATTTTTCTCCTTTTGCTGCTTCGTAGGTAATAAAGGTGGAAGTCCAGGAAGTACGAATTCTATTTCGGCTCGCCGACCACCATCTACGTTGTCTTCTAATTCCATGCCAATGTTCTTTGATGATACGGGCAGGTAAGACAGAGTGTATATTTTGTCTTGCAGATAAAAACATTGTAAATTGGTTTGAAGGCTCTCTTCAGTACATATGTATACATGGAATAGTTAATATAGTATTTTTCTTATAAAGACGATCTTTAATCATTCTGTCCGATTTTAAGGTTTGATGATGTCGGTGGTCAGCAGCCACCAACGGCAAATCAAGGATCAGGTATGAGAATTATCGATTTTCAATTGTTTTTATCGTGTTCCTTCTTATATTCAGAAATATGGCATATATATACATACATAATAAATAACGTGTTAAACCTTACCGATAGCTTCTAATTTGGTCTTCATTTGCTCACTTGTTCTCATTGCAGGTGGTCACGGCCTTTATGGTGGTCGATCGGGTGGTGGATCGTTCCAGTCATCAATGCCATTACCACCTGTAAGTCGAATATTCATTATACGTTTACGTATTGGTTTCCTAACCATGTTAGTAAAGGTCTTAAGTAATTTTCAAATATGTTTGCAAGATAACCTAACACTCACAATGTTTTCAAAGGCTCGTAGGTTTTAAGTCTTTAACCTTGTTCAAAGTAACATAACTCGACTTCTGTTTTGACTACTAATTACATTTTTACATTGAGGGCTAACAGCTAGTGCCTTGAAACATGTCGATCAAACTTGACTTGTTTGTAACTAGCGAACATGTTCTACATATCCGAGAGGCCGATTTACCAAATTATATCAAGATAGTTTTTTAAGATACATGGTATTTGACTTAATAAGTAAGTGTGCCGCCTTTGATACAACACGAGTACTTTATTAAACGCATAAACATGAGAAGTAAAGCTATGTATACGAATAACGATCGATGAAGAGCGGTGCTATTATAAATTACATTTGGAGCCTTAATAATTACTGCAGGACTCGAATACGGAGGTGGTAGAAATGTCAGAAGGTTCCTCATCTTCATCATCCTCATCAGGAAGTTCGTCAGAAGCTTCCGATTCTGAAAGTGAATCAGACACCCACGCCGCTAAAAGGTACAAAGTCACCAGTGATGCACCAGTGGTATAGTATTATTCAATAGATCTTCGAATTCATGAGGTCAAAATAGATGCGCGCAATTTTAACTGCGATAGAAAATATAAAATAAATAAAAGCTATCTCTCCTGGTTAAAGATTGGGCGTATATTGGCTCGTGACTGGGGCTTTTTATCTTCCAATCGTGACCGAACGAATACTTATTCATTATATGTATTTTTGGCAATTACATTCGGCCGTTTTTAGCAGCCATACTGCGTACGAGCAGTATTTGCGTGTATCTTGTGCTACCGCGCCCTTCGCAATTCGGTGTACTTGCGGTCCAACATTTTCGATACGACATCTTTCGATCTACCACTGCAGTTCCCCAACGGCCCTGGCGCCTCGTATTTCCGCACATTGTTATAGTACACCCCGGGCGTATACGCCGATTTTGTATATGGCCGCTTGCTATCCGTATGGTATTAGTTTAGCCCTCTTTTTCTGTCTACTTCCATAAACGTTAGTTATTTCCGACAGGGCTCTTTCCTATCCCTTGCTTTAGCACCGCAAACGGCAGTTTATAAGTAACGGTTGCGACGAGACTGGCCTGTTTCTATCAGTGACCTGGCCTCGTTTGCGCGTTCCCGGGCCCATTTCCCTTGTTCTACCATCAAAACGGTCTCGAGGCCCCGACAGGTCTAACCGGACTGTGGGCTTTGTCGCTGCTCACGAATTGTGAAGGAGTAGGTCGTGTTTGGAGACTGGTACATGTCAGCGAGCAGTCAGAAGCTTATTTAGAGTGTACTCGAAATAGCAATTATTCGAGATTTATATTGTTGGCCGTTACAATATGTAATCTGCTAGCGCAACCACTTTATACACCATCCGATTGAAAACACTGGATATAATAGGGTGATAAAGATTAATAGTAATCTGCAGCAGAATATTGTAAGTTGTGTTCGCGGGCGTTGCACAGTAAGGCGACACCGCCTCATACGGTCGATACTATATTCGATCGATGCTATATCATTTCGGTCCCCAGTACTCTAGAAGAGAATGTATAAGAGAGGTTGTTTTCCTCGAAGAATTGTGTCTGAAAATCTCCGCGGGATTAATTATATGTTCTGTGCAAACTGTATTTAACTTAAGTGCTCGAACTTCTGTAGCAATATATGCGGTGGTACCGCTAAAACGGGATCAGGGGAGCTTCATGTATAATATTAAAAAAAAACGGTGCATTGTGTTTAATTCCATTCATGTATTTATGTTCAGGCTTTCTAATAGTGCAAGCGTTGTGCCTTCGGTGCCGACGTTGCCTACAACAAGTAGTAGCAGTGGGGGATATGGAAATCATTCCGGTGGAAGTCATTCTACATCTCATGCATCACATCCGCCTCCAAGTGCTACCACTCCGAAGGGATCGATGCCAAAACTCAGTCAACTTAGTAAATGTCAACTTAGTAAGTGTCATAAAAGCTCACTAATTTCGTAGAGCCCAGAGCTATAATACGTCAAGCCACCCTATAAAAGATCATTGTAAAGTGTGCAGTAATCTAAAAAACGCCGGGCGTAACTTTGTTGTCACATGTAAATGTGTTAGACTGAAGAAGGAATATTTATCCACTGTTGGTTATTAGTTTTCCACAAACAGCGGTTCAGTGAAAGATTTGAGTAGCGCTTCTTACTAAACATTACGTTTGTTTCACAAGTTACCCCTCGATTGGAGAATGATTTTTTATCCCAGCAATAGACCCACAAGCGCTTTGTTTATTTATAAAACGCTTACATACTTTAAATGTTTTTAGGTGAGGACCTTCAACTCAGTGAGTCTGGAAGTGATTCAGACTAGGCCCGCCAATGTTCGACGAATTGTGGATATTCAATAGTACGCTTCAATAGTAAACAGTGGCGCTTCACGAGCGCTCGCCATAAAGTTTTTTCTGTCGTTAGACCAACGAACTGCGAATTCCTTAAGTTTGTTCAGAGCGCCGCTTCAACCAATAAAACTAAGCATCTACAAATAAAGTATATTTGTATCAACTCAACTGTGTGCGGCTTGTGTGCCAGTTTGACTGCTGCTGCTGTTCAACACTTTGTCGTTGACTTGATAAATATAAAAGCATAACGGCCCGCTGTTTTGTGTTGGGAACCTCCGCCCTATTCCAATTCCCTTCGGATTTTGTATACAATCAACAGTGTAAGGATAATTTTTGGAAGTGTTATTCACGTTCTTCATTTTGTGTTTCTTTTATTAATAACGAATTGCTCAAAGTTGTAGGCAAGGGTCAAGATTGTCTGACAAGAATGAACCTGAATCGTTGTGCAAATAAGTCAAATGTTAGTTTTTGTTGATGAAAATAATGAAAAATGATAAAGTTGTCACATATTTAGATGATAATTATAAATAATAATTTCGAATATATCATATGATTAGGAAAATACGAGACACAGATGAGCATCGATGATTAATGTTGCTTACATCTAGTTTCTGTAATCAACATTGACGAATAAAACGTTGCATGGCTTTGTACAGAAATAAACTGAAATCCACATTTCACTCGGACCTTACCTTTTTTTCAGGCGCATAAGTCGATGTGAAATGCCTCTTGCAAAAGGCGGCAATAGGTGTTTCCTGTTTTTTAAATCTTACTGCACAGTTCAAATGCTTCCTCTGCTACTACTACTTGTTTCTGGTAGTAACTCCGGTTGATTTGACGGCGGGCGTGGCCCGCTTAGACTAGCTCGGCTTTCCTGCATTCCGTCAAATGAATTCGTCCTTTTTACTGTGGCGCAGTAAGTTTAACGCTTTACAAATATTATTGCTTCGCTAGTTTTTCAATAAAGCATACGACATTCTTAAAACACGTGAAATCACGTACAGACCGCATTCAAATAAAAATTCAGCGTTTTACTAACATGAGTTAGTTATTATAGAACGCTCGTAAAGACGTATGAACATAAAGAGACATGATTAGCAACACCGCTTTCCCGTAGCCAGTCATCCCGTTAGGTGATATGCCAACGAATTCCAGGCAAAAATTGCGTTCATCTGACCGCTATGCTGCGCCCTTCAATACACTATTCGGGAGGCGGCTGCTGCTGTTTGGGGACATACCGTACACGTCGTCCGAATGCGCTATGATCGATCGGCCCGCATCGCATATCCGTACAGGTACTATTCAAGAGTACGACAATATATAGGTTGCCGGTCCTGATCAGGCTTCATGCCAGCTTGCACCAAACAGCGGGTTTTTGGCGTAGTATTTTGAGGCAAACAATCGTTATATTTAGAGTGGGACTTGATAATTGTATCACCCCGTGACAACTCTCATATAATTTTTACAAATATAATTTGGTATGTGTTATATTAAACATTCGGACGAGTTGTTCTGACCAGCTGAAGATGTATGCGGAGAGACCGGTAGTTCCACACATTTAAATCAAAGAAAATCAAATGTCGTATAGTCCATGCAAGATATTTTACGCTTAAAAAACGTCGAACGAATTAGACAGATATAGTAGATATAGTGTAAAACTTACGTCTGAATAACAATTCGTCAAGCCTATACTGCTAGCTACCAGCAGCATTACCGACGTCTTTTATTTGTGTCTACGGTAAACTTCTTTTAATAATTCTATATATTTTTTATTCCTTTTCGACTTGAAATTGAACGTGTTGATTTGATTTCTCACTCCATTTTTGCGGCCGCGTTCATTCGTCCAGAGGTTGACAAAGCCCCACTTCTTTCCGTATTATTAGGTTAGTACAGCTCGTATACAAAAGGTTACACGTAATAGTTTCAATCTGAATACTCCCTTTTTGTCGGAACATTCAGTCTTGTAAAGAAAATTTTGAAAATTTGTCATCACTCTCCATTGCGCACTCTGTATAGACCCAAGACTTCATGAAATATCCTTTGCTACAGTCTATATAGTTTTTAATATCATATAAACGCGACTCCATTAAGAAATCTTCAATATTATACATATCATAAAATTTAAAAGACGTTGCTTTTGATAATTTTAATACCTAGATATACAAATAGCATGAATATATCACACAGTATGGCATAATAGCGCAAACGGCAAGCTTAAGGATTCGTTAACTTTGGCTTAGAACTTACTGTGTCTATTGCGAGTACTTCATCGCATACTGAGAGCGATTCGATTACATAGAACAGGGTATTGAAGTTGATGTATGGACTTGAGCTAACAGCGCGTCGCATCATACTAGATGTTAGATAGCAGGCAACAAATTCCTAAGCGGTCCGTTCTCATCAAAGTCGGTGACGGGAAACTTGAAAAAGCTTTGTAAGCGGCATATGTGTGTGCACATACTAAAATATCTTTGTCGTCTTTTGTACAATCCAACTGCGCTGTTTCAAAGGTCGATAATGGGAAGAGAGGGGGTTCTTAGGGTTGTCTTAAAGACCAGAAAAAGCCTACGAATACGCGCGTACAGGCGTGATCTTGATTCCAGTTTGTCTCCTCAAAATGGCAAGGGAAAGCTGACTCCCCAATGGTAGCAGCAGGCATTTCCCAGACGTAAGGCCATATTCCCATAATTTACGCCTCCGATATAGATGGTTAACAAAGCAGTTAAATTAAGCAAAATCGGTCTAGCTCTCAATTCGAAGAAATCGAAGTCAAATCTTACTTCAGTTCTTGCTATTATTTAGATCGAATGTTGCTTTGCATTCCTATAAAACTGATTTATGTTATAGCATAAATTAAGGCGCCTACAATAATTGTCTATACAATCCTTAAAAAGGAGCATTAAACGAGTCATATGTCCTATCTGTGTAGCCCAGAGCCTTAAAACAAATTTGGTACGGAAACAAAGAACGTACAGGGATATAATTCTCGCCACGATTGTTTAGTTACGGCAACAGGATTCAGGATTTTCGGTGCGATAATAAGTTAAATTATTATAATCCTTAAGTTCGCAGTTCATAATTGTGTACTTTTTTGTGGCCTAGCAAGCTTTATCGAGTGCATGTGCCATTTTTTTAAGAGCCACCTTTTTAATTGCTTTAACTTTTAGTTGCGAAATTTGTTTTAAGAACGGTCCTTTGTCGTCTCTATTAACGGATCGATAATGCAGCATAATGTTAGAGCTCAAACGACCGACGCTTTGTCCACCAGGCAAATCAAATTTTTATCCAGCTACTACAACCTGCAGAGTTATCGAGTGAAGTGAAGTATCGCATAAACAATGAACGTTATAAAGGGAAGCGGCAATGTTCTCGTGAGTAATCACCTTTAGTGTCAAAGAAGGCTATAAACTTAAATGATCGAAACAGCACGTGAATTTCTAATCTTCATCAAGTATTACTTTGCGTTAGAACATCTTCGCAACCAAGATCTTACCGAACAGGAATACATATGCAGTTAGCATACCTTATCGGTCACTTTCAAAAATTGTCTTGGGTTACATGGGTCTTTGACTCGTCTCGTCAAATAACAAAACAGCATTATTATTATTAGAACGTTATTGCTTTGTTTATTTGTGAATAAATAACATAAGTTAGAAATCTAAATTCATGAACGCGAGTTTCTTTTGCAGACATTTTTCTTGTGGTTTATGCAAAGATAACAACTTAGTTTAAAGGAGAAACGTGTTGTTTGGTAATGTCACCTTGTCTTGTTAGTGTGGCAATCACCATTTGAGCATCACAGTCATATAATTCAGAAACTCAAGGTACTTTAGGGCATAGATACTGCGCAACCTCCATATAGTTTTTATATAGTTTGAGTCGTAAGTAGATAACGGGTAAAGATGCACACTGAATCGAATTTAAAATTCAGATATTCCCACACATTAGTTTGTTACAAGAACACTTAATTAAAAGGGTATCAGTCCGTCCTCGCATATTCCTCGCTCTCGACGCGCTTAAAGTTCGATAAAACGAAACCATACAATTTGATATATTAATCAATTATTTCTTTGTGCAGTTCCGCTGGCCTTACGGGCGTAGTCACATACCTATGAAGTGTTTTGGATTAACCGTATGCATTGAATAAAAAGCAAATGGGACATTATTTTTCAAAGCATTTGCCTGAATATATTCTTTAGAATATTTGTCACATCTTTCACCTAACTTCTAAAATTTGTCCGACAGATCCTATAGTGTCGTTGATTTCGCCGAGCATTACATACGTTAGATCGACACAAAAGTTCAATGAAATACGATTTGATAGTCGACCATTATTTGCTACCGTGAAAAATACAAAACTTCTCTCCCTCTTGAACTTGTTTTGTGATACATAACTGTATGGATAATTTTGCATATATTGAATTAGGTATAATAAATTGTTTTAGCTGTGATTAAATCGGTTACCTCTGAATTATTACGCGTTTTTACAATTTGGTTTAATAAACGGACAAGACGGAGCTCAGTAAATACAAGGTGAGAAAAACAAACAGAACGTAAAACAGTACATCAGGAATATGTTTTACCAATCCTATTTGGTTTCTTAGAATTGTCAATTTTCATTTACGACGTTTACGTTTTTAATGCATTAGTAATTATACATCGACAATGTCCAGCTTATGCTTCATGCGATCTGTAATATTAGTAAGTGGTACCTATATAGGTAAAATGGTTAACTTCATGGCTTTTGTTATTTACTAGTTACACTTTAAATTGTTTTAATTTTAACTACGTTAAGAGAAATAATTTGTGTAATAACACTACTTAGATCGCTAAGCGCCACTTCCTTTACAGTACTAGTATTGGACATACAGTGATGGAAACCGATTTTTAATATAAATTAAAAAATGTTCGACCTTTTTGTAAACTCTAGTATAGCAGTGGAAACTACAATGTTATTCACCATGCCTATAATGACATTTACCACATATCGCTGTAATGATTGGACACATCTTCGATTGGGTGTGCGGTTACAGGATGAAGATAATTCGTGCGATTTTCAGAAACGGTGTCCCGAGGACTGTCCCGCTTGGGCTCGCCATGACGATTCGTTAGAAGGTGACACATCCGCTTTTCGAATGTCGCTGATGGATCAGGCCGTCTAAAGCCTCGTCGCGGTAAGTTAGGCTGATTTATGTATTCTTATTGTTGTAATTATTATGAGACTCTTTATGCCAAACAGAAGCTTTTTCAAATGAGGTGGAATTCATTACATGCAGTTGCGGGACAGATGGAGTTTAAGGAGACGATCCTTAATATAAGTGCATAGGTTGTAAACGAAAGTAACATGTTAATTGTCCGAATCTGGCATATGTGTTCCCTGAAAAATTTATCAAGTTAAGCTGATTTATGTAGGTAGGCATCTGAGCGACAGTAAAACAAACAGTCTCTCTAAGAGCAATTTAACTTGGCGTCGATTGCAACAACAGTGGGCTTTATACATTCCTAACAAAGAGCTAAGTGCTATTTTCGCCAAAAAGCTTCTACAGACTATTCATTTTTAATCATAAAAAAAAACAGTAGTAAAGTAACGTTTTATTTAGATATATGTAACTCATAAACCTGTTGAGTGGAAATGGGCATTATAAAGATCAAATAAATGAGAGTCAATAAAGTCGTATTTCACCATAAAACTACATTGAGTAAGGGCACACAGCAAAATACGTTTATTGCCACTTTTATTTCAAGCTCAGTTATGTGGCTATGTATTGGCTTCTATAAATGGTTTGAAATAATAGCGGTTTTAGGATTTGTTGAGATGAAGCAAAAGTAAACCCCTTTCAATTTCGTGTCCCTGCTGATTCATTTATATTCTACCATAAACGGACGAGAATTTAGGCCTATAGCTACGTTTTTTAGTTTAAGATAGAGCTCTTGGGTGTTTATGGTCAGTCATAATTTGGCTATGGTTAAGAACTGCCGCGATTGAATTGTGAGAAGGGTAGTTGATATTCACGGTGAACTTCAATTTGTGAGGTAGTATAGTGCTTGCTGATCTACATGTTATCATGCGTTCGAATGTATCTACTTACTGTATATGAGGTCATTATTGTACATACGAGCCAATATAAGGTATGTTCCAACTGCAGTATGGACGTCATAGTTTGATCTTCACAGTATAGGGGTGAAGAAATTCCGTATCGAATTTGCTCTGGAGCAACTGGGCATGTAATACAACAATATTCCGACTTACTTTATACTATTAATACGCTAGGCAGCCATGATGTCTGAAATGAAAAAAAAAACACCTATTTGGAAGGTAGCTTCCCATAAATCTTTCTTTTGAAAGAGAAATGCAAGTCATTATATTTAGTGCATTACTTTGCTTTGCCGTACTAATAACACGTACGCAATTTACATTATCCAAGCAGAAATTTAACGGCTGAAATTTACCCGTAGTAGACATTGATGGAATATATTAAGTCGATGCAGCGCGTGTATGAGTGAGGTAAGTTTGGAGTTGCGACGATGATATTGATATTTAATCAGCTAGGGGAATTTGATCGTTATAGCTAATGGTTGATGGGTTTACCTCGACTTACATGTTCACAATCCAGGTGGAAACAACGGTAACTCCAAAGAGAAAGTACGTGAAGTGCATCCGAAATCGGCTATGAGACAATCCTAATCATGCGTTGGTTTTACCTAAAAATAAAATGCATCTCCTGTGACGTACGTTTAATTATTTTACTTTAGTTGAAAACAGAGCTACTTTTATCTTCTCAAAGCAAAGAGAATTAATAGCTTTTGGTACTATATTATTTTTCATGTGTAAACAACGTAATGATTTAACGTATCATAATAATTCTCATTTTCTCTAATAGGCAACCGTAGCCGTTTTAAATTTCTAGCAGCGCTTTAAAACCCACTATTATTTCATCTGTTACTTCAAGCACTAAGCATTTTAACTGCAACGAATCGGCAGTCATTCCACCAGGTTTATGACTCTCTAATAGTTCGGCGGCCAACGTTGCGCTGCAGCCGCCGCAGAAGCCCCTTTCATAGCCTTTGAGTGGCTTAATATTCTCGTGATAAAAAAAATTTACATGATAGCAGTAGTTGTAATATCTATACAATTGCAGCTTCCCCGTGACTATTTGGGGGTAGCGAAGCCGGCGTTATGAATCAGGTTTGCATTAGCTGTGCATCCGAATCAATACATTGGGGCAAAACATTTATGCGGAGATCCTTTTCTCAAAGGAAGTATCTGTTTAATAAGGGTGGAATTATACAAAGCTAAAGGAGCACATAGTGAGGTTACATAGCTATAAGACTGAGCACGTAGACTTCAGAACTTTCGTAGTAGCGTTCAAAGAGACTGGTGAGCGAGAAGTTATCGGACAGTCTATGTTAAGGTTGGTCAAGAAAAATAAAGGATAATCTTATTTTCAGCATAGACAGAGAATTATCAAAACAAAAATAACCGTGGTGGACACAGTTTGTTTTGGATAGTTAACTTACTCAAAGTCTTTCTAGCAAATTATAATCATCCCTAATCCTAAAGCGCATAAATTGATATTCAAAGCCACTTACCAAGCTCACCATAGATGACACTGATGTATATGATACATACGTGTATAATAGCCCAAATTATTTCTTTTGTAGGCTGACTGTTGGGTCTCGCCAGTACGCTATACAATTTGTGTAAGAAAAAAAGTTACTTAAAAAAGTACTGCACAGTGTAGGTACATATCCATAGTCAAACGAAAATTAATCTGCTATAAAAATCTGTGCAGATTGTGAAAATGCTGATGTATAAAAACTGTTATTTTGGAAAAAGCCTTTGGTGGAGTCGGCGACGCACTACTTTTCGCATTATTACAAAATCGGCGACAATCGCATGCATGAGCATAACTACGATTGAGTAAATGTGTATCATAATTATTTGCTAAACCTGAAATGAATGAACAATACCGCCAGATTGACAGCGCATGGTTACGTTTATATGCTCTGACAAGACTGTTATCAGGAACACTGGACAACACCTGCTGCAAATCTCAATACAAGTCTCAATAATTTCAACTAAATTAAAACCAAGAAAATGATTTCCAGATAGTATCATTTATGGAGCAAGTATTAACGACTTCAGCTATTGGATGAGATAGATTACTGCCACCGCTGCAATTGATAGGCAAATGCATGATATCAATAAAGCAACTTCTCTGCACAAACGACAAACGCATTCAATTTTTATTTACGAAGGCTACGTGACGACGTTTTTTCATTTAACAGGATCTGTAATAATGGTGCCATATATCCTCCAAACTACGATGCATTGCAGACGCAGCCCGTAGGGGCAATAAACGAACGAAATTAGCAACAATATACGTTATGAAGATTGAGCCTACCCAAATAAAAAGTGCAAATTCTTCCACGACCTTTAAGTGTTATGCAATAGAGCATAAAAGGTAGGTTAAAGAAATCAGCTTTGATCAAATTAACACAGTTTAGGCGCACTTTATCTGAACTTAGGTATAAAACTATTATGGATGGAAGTATTAGCTTGGCCTTAACTCTTACAGAAATTAATAATTTTTTTATAATTAATATCACATAGTTTGGCATTGCACGAAAACCAACTGCTTCAGTATCTCCAAGATATTTAGAGAGAAAGAAAGAGAACCATCTTTGCTAGCGAATCTGCTGATACAACGACATTTTACGATGGCACATATGGTAGTTTTCTGAACTAGGTACGCTTTAGATGAGTTTAAATGTAGAACAATATATAATAATAATAATAATGTAATTAATATTACATCACATTTAGGATCATGCACGTTCAGTTGCGCAGCGACGGGGTTGCCCCCCACTTTAGGTACCGAAAGAAGCGCCTAATGTTCGGATATTAGTCCATTATTATCCGTTTAGCGGCCGTCAGCTGTAAAGGAGGGCTTGTAAAGGGCACCCCATTTCCTAGAAATAATGGTTTCGTTCTTGAAGGCAGAGCATTCCAATAAAAAAGGTTTCTGCTATTTGGTCTAGCCCTTGACCATGCAGCGTTTGTAGGTGAGGAAGACTCCACCCAGCAATCAGCTGAGAGGAAAAACCTCTCGACCTTTCCATCGCAGGAGAAGGAATCTCGGGCGTCAATCTATGCGAGGCAAAGGGCTACTTGGTATTGTCACCGCCCAGCTTACGTTTTCATACATCGTTCGCTTGCTTTTTCGCCTCAGTTTTTATTCAGCTTCCTCCCAAGAAAGGAGCAATTCTTCTGACGCGTTTAGTAGCTCGACCAAAGGAAGAGCCACGATTCAACCATTTACATCCTCTACGAGCGAGAGAAATTGAAGCATCACTGATAAAACAACAGACGCCCAAGTAACCCGCTTGCGGGAATAGAGCGTATTTGCAACGTAAGCCGATCATATGCTTGACCGCCTTGGACCTAATTTATAGCAAAACGATGACTATGGCCGGCCAACTACCGAGTGGCGTAGAATCACTAATTCGTAGCAGCGCAGGCAGCTGAGCAAAATACTTTTAAGCCTTGATAGCCGAATGATTCGAAAAGAGATGATGCCATCATAGCAGTTAATGGTGGTGTTGGTGATGATGACGGTGATAATATTACGCGATGCAGCACACCGTTTGTGAAGTGCCACGATTTCTGATTGAGCTTATAGAGCTTGTTCGAGACGAACGCTTTACGTGAGCTTCGCTTCTGGCTTAGATCAGTGTAGCTAACAACAGGGGTCATCGATGGTTACCGCAGCTTCGACACTTGCTTACTTGAAGGTTCATTAAGACATAGAATAGAGCCGACGTACACATACATACACATAAGTGCATACAATCCGACTCTGCCTTTACGTCGCACATCAACAACGAGTGAAGTTTCACACCCGAAATCGCCCCAACGACCTTTAATACGATAAACGGAGCCGAGCTAACTCTGTTGCTCAACTGCAAAGAAGTTTTTCTCTGATGTGTCACTATGGTGTCAACTATCGCAGGAAAATGTATCGTGATGGTCTTAAGCAGCAGGTTACTGGTGAACCATAATAAAACTAGCGACATATTGAAGATGTTCAGAGACCGCTATAAAATCAATTGAGTGCCAACTCCGTTACTTTCACTCTACTTGACAATTCGTTTGTACACTGGTTTGTAGCATTTTCGAAAACTGCAGTGTCACAGTCCGCCGAGTGTATATGCACGTAAAAATGCACGCGCATACAGCTCTGATTCGATAAGTAGCAGGAATAGCTTCGACTAGTACAAAACGATACTCAATGTAATCGAATGATAACTCGTAGTTTGACTTATCGCATACTGAATTATCCGTCGTTATTGAACGCGCTAAAGCGTTGGAAGCGTCTTTTCCATGACGCGCACTGTTCCACATATATACGAATCATTGAAAAAGATCTATATAGAAATTCGTTGCGTTCTCATTTGACTGGCGATCGATTTTAGATTAAAACGGGATCGCTTAGAATGCTCGGCTTTTTGAAAGAAAATATCAGTCAGCTTATCGAAAATAGCAACTTTAATGTTACTCTAAGGTACAGAATTGTAGATAGTCTATACATTCTATAATTTCTACATAGATCTATATATTAAGTACTGCATACACTATATATCTACTCATAGGTATACTTGACATATGTATATTTGAAACAAAGCCATATTTTACGAAGAGGTCGAGATAACGCATCGAATTACAATGTGACACGAAATAGAGGAGCTCCTATTGTGAGGGACGGATGCATTTCAAAGAAGCCCCTGGAATACTCGTGTATTTGGGTAGAAAGCTGTCCTGCTAATAGCTTAGCGGGAATTGACCAAGTATCAGTGCGGGTAACACCAACCAAATTGAATACTGTGATTCATAAATGCTGCTAACTGAAATTAATCCCTTATAGATCTGGAATAGAGCGTTATATATTCGATAGAAACGGGGTATTGTTTGTGTGGGCGAACATAAACCAGCGCTGTTGTCGTTGCCTCTATGCTCGTGGTGTGTATACTACGGCGACAATCATTGTGAATATTCTGGATCAAATGAGGAACGCCATACAAGATCGACAAATTGTGATCGGTGGAACTCTGTATGCGGTTTTTTTACAAAACAGCATGCATAAAAGAAATTAAATAAAGTAGAAGAAGAAAAAAATTAAGAAACGATGGCCCGCCGAATCCACGACTGTTTCGACGTGTGCTGCGATCCAATACGAGGCGGTAAGTTCGCTTTGTCGATAGTCTAGTCGCAGCTTAATTTAGCAGGTCTAGGGGATGCCTTATACTATTTGAACCTATATTTACACACGATTCACGTTTACAATTATCTCTAGGTTAAAATGTTTATAGATTACGTTAATTTTTAGTTCACCAATATGCAGAAAAGTAAGCTACTTTTCTATTTATGTGACCTATCTATTCCTACATGGCCAAAGCTTGCTCAGACGATATTCAGACTTTTGACCAATTTTCTAGATCGAAATTAGCAAAAGGAATGCGTGCATCGGTACGACTAAAATTTGTAATTTCTATTTCAATATATGCGTATAATTACGATTTCTCAAGCCCGCAGAAAAAATTAGCGAACCTCTTCAAGTTGGTTATTTTAGTTTTCTTTTCTTTTTCTCTAATCTATTTCCCCGCTATGAGCGTTATTGCTCTGAGCATCGTTAGCAGTAATAATGACAAAGGTAAGCAACAGATGCATTTACCCACTGAGCCAGCTTAAACGATAATAAATGAAAAAATAACAACAGACTTGAAGATTTCCCTTGTTCGTCTATGAACTATCACTGCGACCATTTCATTGATAGGACCAAATGGTACAAAAGATGTACTACACTGTACTATATATATAATTGGATATGCAATATTGGATAATATATGTATACGTACATATATAATTGGAGTTCGTAAAACATATATATACTTTCGTTTCAGTATATTCATAGATGTTACAAGTGTACCATTGTGTGTGCCGGTGCCTTCCTGTGTGAACATTGCTTTCTTTATGTAGATGGCGCACGGTTTGAACGAATCGTCGTCTTGTTCAATGTCACTCTTTGATTCCGTGTTTCGTGGGGTGCTGTTTGTAATAGAAAACAAAACGTGAGTTGCAAACGAATTGACCCGAAAGGTGAAAACAAATTAACATGACGTCCATGAGCAATGGCCAAGCTAAATATGGTTGTGACGTGACACTTACATCGTACTGAACCGACATCATTATCGACCAAATATCAGATACCTCTCAAGCGGGGCCATTTTTCACTGAAACATATTTGTTATTGTATGTAGCATACACTTGTATAAGCCAGTGTCTTACTGAAGTAAGTTATAATGTTAGTGGTAGACCTCGGAGAGGCCCTCAGTCAGACTATCTCGGTCTGTTTGGTCGCCTATCCCTCCACGCTTTTTGCTCGCGGGCAGATGTGAGGCTGCCTGTGAAGTAGTTGTCACTAAAGGCTATTAATCATATACTTCGCCTGCCATACGAATGAAAAGTTCCTTTTTAACGTGCTCCATAGATGCGTGAGTTGCGTCCGATCAGCTCTAGACGTTTCGATAGAGTAAAAGTAAGTATTCGCTATTATTACGCACTGTATTCAAAATGTATAAGCTGTAATAGGGCGCAGAATCGTCGGACGTCTATATATTCTCGTACACCGAAGCAGCTGGTCCTATTAAGTATTATTTAATCACTAACATTTCATGCTATAGTTACCAAGAGTCAATCCTACCTGGTATGGGTAGCCCTTGTTGTCGATCAATAAAATGTAATTCTCATTCTAACGATGAAAAAATGCGCGAGTCGCAAAACGAAGTAGGTTGTCGTCGTCTTCTAGTGATCAGCTACGTTTGTCAGGGTGAGTTACAAACAAAGTTGCGTAAACTATTCGCGTGAAAACCTATAGTCGCGTTTACTTCTAGAGTGCCAAATAGCGCTTAACTAACGAGTTACTTAAGGCAGAAAAGCTTGCCCCTTATAGATGAGAAAGCCCTACGTCTACTCTAATTTGAAAGTTGAAGAGACTAAAGCACGTATTGTTCTTTTCTTCTAAAGGCGTGTACAATGTCGGCTGAAGGTGTGGCATGCGATTTCGCCCGAAGCTTTTCGTCCGGCCGATACTACGACGATGACGAGCACCGTGGAGATGCGCGTCTTCTCAAAATATAGTGACCCGATACAGGCAGCTCCTTCTTCGCATTCAATCCATACCACAACGGGCTGGCCGGCTGGCTATCTAGCTCATTACATCAATCAAACCTGCTCTGTTATGGAGTCTACGTACGATCTAAGTACAAACGACCAGCATAACCAATGCGTAGAGTCTATTCTATGCAAGTTGAGTGTGAAACTCTGCTCCCGCCGATTCGACCTATTCCGACTGGCGCCACTGCTCACTAATTCTCAATTCCTCAGTCCAGATCTTAATTTAAATGGGACGACGATCTGTTGTTGCTCAGCCATAGCTTCACGAAGGGTTCTTTTTATTTCAAGACCTATTTTGCCTGAGGGCTGAATTCGCCAGATGCAGCCATCTCCAGATCTGCAGTGCACGAATAGGCATATTCAACTGACATGACTGAAAAGGGCGATCGTATTTTCGTTGGAAGGCCGCAGCTCTGCTTGGATGGGTTGTTGGAAACGATGAGCTTTAACCGGGGGACCCACAAGACCCATTCGAGAAATAAATTCGGCAAGCCATGCTGTAAAAGCTTTTACATTTTTGGGACTTTTAGCCAGCTGCCAGCCCAAAATTTAATTGCGTTGAAATTTTTCATATATGGCGCATTCGAACGATAGTTTAACGATCTTATATCAAATATATATCACTTGACGCACGGTTACCATTAAAAAGTTTTCTGCGGACTGATGAAAGAAGATTTTGAAAATTACTATGGGGTGGTTTAGCTTGTAAATTAAGGCTATTACCGTGGAAAATAATGGTTATATTGAATAAACATGGTCGCTAAAGGCTTTTAGTACATGCAAACATTGAAAAGTTGTTTTTGTTCTAATATGGCTACAGATACAAGTGGTAAAAAATTCTCACTTGCGACATTATTTCAGCCATTTTGAACTGTTAAATGCTGCGATTGATTTCAAGCGGCCTATCTAAGATGGCTTCCTTGCTGTAGCACGAAAAAGCATGAATGGAAAAAAGCTTTACGAAGGATTACTTCAACACTGTGCGTTTGATAAAAGAACGCCCGTTTTTACGCGGAGAGCCAAATCGTCGAGTGTTTCAAGCTCTCAATGCAGTATAAATTCGCTTTTGTCAAGACATTTTGCTAGGCTACCTGTGGTGCGTAAATTCCAAAGAGTGGCATAATACGTAAAAGACGGATTTGGTTAGAACGTATTTTTGTTTGGCGTGCTACTACTATATAAGGCCCCTAATACACTTGCACAAAGAGAGTCAATTAATGATGATTGAGTAAAACTCATCTTGGTGGTAGCGTCGGCTATGTGCTGCCAGATGATTGACTGCAGTTATCTCTGTGAATAGGCAAGCCCAAGGATCCAGCCTCTGGATCACTATATTTAGTATTTATAATTGTCTTAATAATTATGTGATTTACTATTTAATAATGTTTTATTTAATAATGAAAAGTTGAGTGAAGAATTGTGTCCGGCGGCCACGTAGCGTACGGAGCCAAGCGCGCGCACCCCACCATTGCTGCGGTAGTATCCACAAAAACAGTATGATGAATGCGCAAAAATAAGCATATTGTCAAATGTTGTATCACAAAATGTCCGACTATAGTTTGAGATTAATCTATGCTGGAAAAAGTGATACTAGTTTATACAATATAGGAAGTTACTATTCTCATCAGTTTATTGTATATGAAGTCGGGCACAAATATCTAAAGGTTCTGACGAAGGCATGCAAGCGCTGGCACAATATGTGGCAAGCGACAAAAAGCGAAGGCTCGTCTTTTTCGCTAACTGAGCTGTTGACGTGGTGTGTTTTTGCCTTAATCTTGCTGAAATAGAATTTAACGGCAGGCAAAGGTATGCATTACCATATTCTCTATAAGCGCAAAATACGTTGTTCCAAGAATTTCTAGGTTTACACGTTAATATTCTACACCTATTACTGGTGACTTTTAAGTCTAGAACTTTGGAAAATAAGGTTTACCAAAGCATATTATTGGGAGAATGAGCACCTTTGGTTTCACTGAGTTTTTAAGCATCATTAAATTACGTTTGTTAAGAAGAAGAAATTAAGTTGAGTAAGGACATTTACAATCTGGAGATAAGTTCAAAGACTATTTACCACCAGTAATACGTTCCGTTGAGCTCTATCTGCTAGCATGATTAAGCAACCACATTACCGTTGTTATTCTCCAAGGGCGGGTAGTGTGATGATGACTGTTGAAGTGTTTATATTTATGAAAATATTAATAAACATAACTGTTTTATGTATATCTAATCCATGATCACAAATATTATATTACCGAAATACATATTATATAGATATTTTTAGCTATCTAAAGCTTATTAATATAAGCTAAAGCTTAATAAATGTAAAAAAATTAAAAAAAAAAAAAAGAAAATATTGCCAGTTTAAAACTCTCTCACGTACTATGCTGGTTTCCTAACAACTTGTTTATATACCATTAAAGCTTTAGTGTATAGTACTAATCGATAGCAAATCGCGATGTTAAGAAAACTCTAGGTACGTGTACCCGTAATGCAATCACAAATGCTTGGCCATTACTTGTAAGTAGATGCGGGTCAATTGTATAGCGTAACTTGACCGTACATTACGGGTCGCTGGTAGTGCCCATGTGGAGTAGTTAGTCATCGTTGGTAACTTGCGTGAGGGTGCCCCGGAAATGGATCATTGCAAGCCGTTATTAGCAGGGCTGAATCGGTGGTCATTGTGTGATTCATGGAGATACTTGAACGTTATAGTTGCTCCGCAAGCAGATACTGCGAAATCGATTTGTACATATGTTGTTTTGTATGTGTTTAGATTATTGTTAGCGACGGCACATGTTCTATCTGAATTATCATAAAAGATAGAGATAAGGCGAAATACAAAGTAACTGTTTATGCTTGTATTGGCCAAAAAACGCATTACCATTAGACAAGAGTTTCAAAATGGCACACGACGCGAGCCATTGCTGGCTAGCGGCATCGACTGAAGACATGGTCATTTATATTAGGAAAGACCAGTTGGCCAAATGACCAATATTTTTGACGATTGTCCTTATTCGATACGATCACCGCTCGGAATACGGCTTTGCTTTGATATACTGTATGATTTTTACAAACGCGATGTTTGTTCCATTTGTTCGACTATTGGGATAACGGAAGTAATGGTTTTGTTGTAGTGTTAGATTCTTATTTTTGTTTCGTAGCTATCAGAATCTACTTCGTGTAATGACTGAAGTAGATTTAGAAGCCTAACTAGAAAACAAGCCCTATTTCGTATGTGGACATCAAAGGCTAATCGTTCTAAAAAGATGATATAAGATGGCCATTTTACACATATCGATAATGGATGCGTTTATCTAAAAGCGCAGCTCAATAATTATCCGTGTCTATTTTTTAGGACATACAGCGCATCCTACCGCATCCAACAACTCTGCCTTTCTTGATCTTGCCTTTCAATGGCTTTCTTCTGCTCTAAGTTTGAACTACCGTATGTTCTCGAGCTTTTCATTGCCGTCTTGCAAGGGCAGGATGTGATTGTCTCCAACAAATACCAGATGCACCCAAAGGGAGAAAGTGCCAATAAGAGACAATGTTGAACATGCTGTTCCTTCTTCTGAGTATCTCGATAGCCACAATAGCTTCAAAGCTGTTCAGAGAATTTGAACCTCGCCTGCGATTCGATTGCCTTTAATACTTCTGTCCTGTACCGTCAGATCACAACTAATTATATGTGACCTAAATTAGCGTAGTGTTTGCTTAAGGTTCTGGAAAAACATCAAATTGCTTCTTTACTTCTTCTAGCCATTCATGTAGCAACCGTAGCAGTGGATCTCCTTTATCTTATTGTACATTTATTATTAAAAATGGCCGTTCTTTACACGCTTGATTTAGTATTTTACTACTTGGATTGCTTAGTCTGCTGTTATGATGAGTACTGGTGTATCAATAAAAATAATAGTAATTCTATTATATTCAAGTACCTAGAACAAAAATCTCGCGTAGAAGTAAAGGGTAAATGCTTACTTGATCTTCGCTTTCAATACAAATATGGACCGCCAAAGCACGGCCTCCCAATTCTTTCGTTTTTAGGGATTTTAAGCAAGAGATGTCAGTAAAGTTACCACAGACATAACTGGCTTGTGGAAGCCAAGTGATCACAGTGACGCCATTTTCTTGTTCTTCAATGCCGCGCCTTCACTGTGAAGTAGAACGCGCCAAGTATTGAATTGTTTACACACGAATAGGGAATGCGAGCTAGGTTTAGACTGTCGTGAAACAAGTTAGTTTTGGCATATTTTTCGTGAGTATTATGATAGCGGTAATCTAAGTTTAGATAATGACTCTGTGTTTGACTGACAAATCAGATGCCAAAAAGCTATCATCTAATGGGTTATCACTGAGCACCTCTAAGTCAGAATCCAATCTAGGGTTCATAACATTAGTGTCTGTTATTCCCTAGCCGTATGAATGCAAAAATGAAGCATTATTTGTAATAAACAATGAAGCGCCTGGTACAGCTTCGTCGTCGATCTTTAATTTACTACAATTTGGCCAGCGAAATGTTTTCATTTCGAGACCGGTACCCTTTAGCGACTGTGCCGTCCATACTTTTTCACGATCGTGTGCCTGTACGACATAGTTCCGTTATTCTTTAAGCTGACCAACAGGCGGCACAAGTCACGGCTCTCGGCGCGATCAAAAGTGTCTTACACGATCCCGCTGCAACAGGACCATACAACAAGATTTCCCGTTATCCTGTCGTACCTCCCATTTTCGCCGTCGTACTCGTACTGAACTCGGTTGTTTTCCCCGCCCAAAGGAGTCCAGGCTCACCTTTCTGACTCTCTGCAGCTCCGTTATCGATGCCGTAGAAAGGGACGTAGAAAGACGTTACCATTTATGGCGGACTAACATATGCCTAATCCGCGTATGCACACACATGCTCTAGCCAGATTTTTTCTGTGTAGATAGATGACCCTTATGACAGTTCAAAAATCATTTGAGGGCTCGGCTGATTGTGGATCTACGGGTACTAACTTGATTCGACCAAAACACTAGAAAACGCTTGAATAAAAAGCCATCTATTGTTTAATCCTCGCAATGCAGTAATTACTGTTTACCAACGATGACTCGTCAGCTAGTACGCCGCGAGGCTGGCATATGTTCCAGATGATCGAGTTGATGGGCTGGTCCAAGGTCCGAATCACACTCCTGTCGTCAAACCGGGTAGCTTTTACATATCGTGAAAACAATATAGTGCAATGGATTAGCTCCCATCAGTAAATACCGGCTTCTCTGCTATATAGTCTAGAATTGCCTCGCTAATTCAGCATAGGGAGTTTTCCTCGCTGCGGCTAGAAAATTAGCGAAGAATGCTGATCTCGCCGTCCTTCGAAGGCCGTCCGCAGCGAAACTAGAACTTTATATCCAGCTTCTTTAGCAATATCCGTTTAACACTAACGAGTTTGCTGAACGTCTTATTAGATTCTCTGTGGCGACAAAAGATTTTTTTCGGCGAATCTGGTTCCTACGGAGAAAAGCGTTCGTAAATCTTCCATTACAGCTTCCCCTCGTTCCCTCTGCACTGATTTTCAAATTTAACAAGACTCGAGCCGCTCCTTATGTCTACACGCCGTTTCATTACATGGTCCGGTGGCCACTTTCGTTCCTTCCTGAGTCGTTCATACTCCTCAAACCATCGCTTCCTTTGAGCGGAGGACCGAGCTTCCTTTCGTAGAAAGCAATCGGGGGCGGCACCAAGGGCGAAAAAGCCAGCCGTTCAAAAAACTCTTTCATGACATCAGCTACATCGCCAACTATTCCACCGCTGTGACCAAAATTAGGCGTGCTGCTTAAGCTTTGTCGACGGCTGGAACGAGCACATCACAGCCACTCGCATGGCATCTGTATAGCCGTAAATGTGTATTTATCCATATATCTAAGCTTTAACATTTGATCTATTTCAATATATATACTACAATAGTTGCGCTAGCTGATGTAAATTTCTGACACGATTTACAGCTCACTGAAGTGAAATGTACTTAATAAACACTGCCTCCACTTAAAGTTCTACTTAAAACAAAAGGTCATTTGAATTTCCCCAAACTTTCGGAAACCGAGTGCACCTGTCACCGTTAAAATATATGAGTAGTCTGAGATAGGAAAATCTTTAATGCAAGAAGGAGAGCCAGCAGTACCTTACCAGCCGCAATCCTGCCTCCTCTCCTGAACTTTGTGCCTTGCGTCTCATCCAGCATGACCGTTAATCCTAATCCTGTGACTGCAATGCAAGGCCTAGTTAAACACTTAAAACTTGATAGGACTATAGATTACTAAGCTACTCGTGTGGAGGATAACTTTGACCAAGTTACTTGGACCCATAATTCTGGCAAAAATATCTTCAAATAGAACTAAGAGCAGAAGAAGGCTCGAAGTATCACATCGGACAAAACCTCTTCTTTTGGAAAGAAGATGTAGCTCCACTTTTCTGTCATTCATGCTTATCTTGTTCTCCTGTAGGCTTACAGTCAGTACACAGACCACATCCTATGGTATTCCTACATACGCTAAGATATACTGAACGAGATAGAGGTCTTGCGCAGAGTCAAGTGCGGGACAAATGTTACAAATGTCAGTGTGGAACCAACAAACAGAGCGTGCAAAAGGCTCGCAGGTTGTTGAGTGGCTTGTTGTGATCGGCCACACTGCTTCCACCAATATTTTCTGCGAAATCCTTCTTGTTCTCCAGGGTAACCTTCCTGCTTTACCAGAAGACGGACAGTTTTTTAGTCAGTAAAGTGGCGAACATTTTGCAGCGGACGCTCTTCTTAGCTATTCCACTCAATGACGATGACAAAGTTAACTTATCTATGCCATTAAGTGTCACCAGTTGCAAAGCATTTCTTCGTCAAATCGACAAAAAGCTAGCATGCAGACCTTCATTAAAGGGTGTAATCAAGTGAGAAAAACGAGAACGGACTTGACGGGCTCATTGCAGACTCCGTCCCGGCCTGCTGCCTTGTTACTCTGCAGGTTCCTATAAGTCCTTGAGGGCCTACAGTAACTCTAACATGGTCAACGTCTTGAATTTTTTTACTACCGTAAGAGTAGTAAACAATGGTACCGCCCAAGAAATCATATCACTCATTGTGGATATATCAGCGAGTGACTAGTCAATCCTGTTGAGATGATATCGAGTCATATATGTATACACGTATATAAATCATAATGGCTACTTCACTGTCCCTACTATTTGTCGACTTGCCACCATCTTCAGATATTTTCTCTACTTGTATTGTACGACTGCAGTTAACTAGTAATAATAAAAAGAATAGCAGATGATGATAGGGATAAACAAGGCAGCAGATGAAGAATGCGCAGAATCTTAATAAATGTTTTGCATTTTTCGGGTTAGAAATACGAACATATCTATAATTAAAACGACCCGCAAACCCTCCTCGAACACTTTTTAGCTGTAGTAGTAGCTTCGTCTGCTAAAATATCTGGCTGACAAGGCCCGGGGTCGTGGGTTTAAGCCCTGCCATTAACGTGTTCTACATAACATCGATCATTCGAGTGTTCTGAAAAATATTGGATGCTTTGGGAGATTTGAATAGCAACGCTTATGAGTTTGGTAAAGAAGCATTTAATTAGAAAGATGACCTGAAAGGGCAGGTCAAGGGCAGCGCCTATTATTCTATTGAATTGCTCCATGTAATTGTACTTTTATTATCTATTCTCTCAAGCAATTGAAAGTGCCGTGCTGTTCAATGAAATGGTAAAGGCAGGAGCAACACTATCTTGCTATGTTTGGCGAAATTCAAAGATAGTGTCTTAGACAATCAGATAAATTAACAGAAATGACTCTATATGAAAGGTCACTAACTCAGTATGTTCATACAAGCTTTTTGGTCCAGAACTCATAGGTAAAAGAAACAGGAATATGTAAGGCCATACATAAGGTCACATGACGGTTCCTTTTTTTACTATACTGTATCTACCAATTTCATTCTATTCAAACAATTGCAAGGTAGATAGATGTTTTGATAGATAAACTTTAGCGTAAAGCATCATGTAGCCGAGCTGAGGTCCAAAACTGAGAACTGTGAAGCATACTGAAGCGGAACGAAAAATAAGCACATCCATACACCGGCATATCGCAATTATATTTCATCTTATTCTATCATATATTAATACTATAATATTCATACTAATTTCTACGAAATAACATGCGGCCAGGTCCGTTCAAAGATCGCATGTTGTTAGGACAGGTCGTAGCGTACACATACACGCGCACCTGTATTGCGCTTACAGAACAGGACGTAGGCAGCGTAGCCTAAAGCAGGAATTATAATTAAACGCTAGGCAAATGATGATATTGATGAGCTGCGTCTAATAAATAAACGGACGAGCGGATCAATGATGGACTACGCTGTTGATACGTGCATAGTTGCATAGCAGCCGATTAATCGGTTAGGCCGGGATACCCCAGACTTTGTTACGATCGCTGGCGATGGACGGTCAAAGATCCGTTGCTGCGTCTTCTACGGTACTACTAGTACTATCTGTGGTGCTTGGATCTGTTCACTAATGAACAGCAACGGGCCTCGGTTGGCGATGCTCTTTCGCTGTCCACTGATGGACGTATCGATTGGGGTATTTACAAAATGAAATGTTTCATAGATGGCGCCGAAATCGATATATATGATCACTTTATAAGATGGGCTTTGTGTGAATACGCTTACAATTTGACTACTGTTGACAGAAAGAGGGAGAAAGGGCTGTATTGGAGTCACTTAATGTTTCCTAAGAAAAAGGCATCTACTCATACGTATATATATATACATATATATTATCGCACAGTTTATGTTTTTTTTTACAGTTTACGGTGCCTGCTAGAATGTAACATCGGCATAACATATATGTATCAACGTGAGTCTTTTACGCATCTTATTTAATTATCAAATAATGACACGATACGACTATAAGCTAATTTAAAAATAAGCTATTTTTTCATTTTAGTTTTTCATTGCTTTTTTCGCGCTCGGATTAAAAAAAAAGTAAGTATCTCCAGCAAAAATATTTTAACGACGGTAAATCAGAATAAAACTTAGATATTTCCAGAAGCGTTTGTCAGTTCGTTTATAATCATTCCATTCTTTACTTTTTTTGCGTTGTCAATACGTTTACCTTCCCCTGTGGCTTTCCTTCTTTCCTTTTTCCTTCAGTTGGATCTACTCGATTTTATTTGATCACGGATATTGACGGTACTGATTCGGTAGTGGCGCCATCTATCGGCGCGTCGAATCGCGCGATGTGGCCATTTCTCGCGGGGTCCAATGTGGCCCTCGCCGAATGGTGGTTGGCATTGCGGCGGCGCTTCGGATGGATTCGCGAAACCAAGAGGCCACCGCGGTGGACGGCACCAACAAGCGCCAGGCGTCAGCATCACCAACGCCTGCACGATGATTCTGTTCACCGATGAAATTTACCTGCCTTTAAAATAAGCTAATCTGTTGCTGTACCGAGGGAAAAACATTGCTCCCTCTTCTTCCCACCTCAGTGGAGGCTACAGACAGCTCTCGATGGTATTGGAGTCCTGAACCAATCTAAGGTTTGACAGCAGATTCAGAGCAGTGTCTTTGGAATATCGGTAGGCATTTCGCCACGCACTCACGCATCAGTTGTACTAATAGCAGCATACGAACCACAACATTGTCGATAATAGTCACCAAGCTACGATTCCAGACACCTTTCGAAGCCGATAACATCAGGAAAGAAAGGTAGCCAGGATGTACGTGTTTACCTGGAGACGCCGGTTACGAACCAGAATCCTCTTCTATCTTCAACCTTAAGTGAAGCGTGAAATAGTGTTTGAGGGTGACTGGTCCATTGTTGTTGATTTTGGGCAGCTGAGTGTGCGTGTGAGATAGAAAAAGGAAAGCGTTAATAGATTGTGATTCGGTTTGTTAACGATACCCATGACGATGAGCCCTAACGGATAACCCGTACCAGTCGTTCAAATGTTTGAAGCCTTGGATATTAGCGATAGGACCAGGTACAAGGAGTTGCAATGTTTCAGTATTCAATGATGTGATCCTAGTAGATGAATTGATGTCAGCAACTTATCTAAATGCTTGTGGCATAAATATAATAAGTGAATTATCGCGGAAAAAATTGCATTTATACATCAGCTAATTGACATCGTATGCTTAAAAATATCTGCTATCAGAAAAAAATTGAGAAGCTTGTTTATGGGTGTGCGTGTCCAGTGTTTCTTTTAGGATTTTAGGGTATTCATTTGGTGGAGGAAGAACCACAGCTGTAAGTTAGACGATGTCTTCGCGACCCCCTCCACCTGTAATAGCAACAAGAGTCCCATCTAGTTATCCTCTATATTTGACGAACAACCGTTTCCGTCGAGGACCCCTTCCAGTGACTGTTGTAGGTCCGGATGGAACAAATGTGCCAGTAGCTAGTCGGGACACTTATTATAGTGGGCAACATGAACCCTTCTATCCCACGGCGACAGCAGACCACCCCAATGCATATAGCGGTGCCTATAGTGCATACAACACATACAGCGGCGCTTACGGCCCTCCAGCCAGTGGCAATGGAGATTATATCCAGTCTGCCTTTCCCCTTGAAGTCTACTTCCCTTCGGTGCTTTTTACTCAGAATGATCGACCCAGAGCGAGATTGAAATCGTCTAGAAGCTATGATCATGGTAAGAATATCTGCGCATACCTTCTTACAGAATGATTGTTTCTGCTATGGCCACATCGGTGTGCATCTGTTGTTACCGCATTTTTTAACTAATCATCATCACTGCCATCAATGATAACTCAATCTAGCTTCACTCTCTATGTACAAATGTGGCCACATGTTTCCACCCTTCCGCGTTTATACCGCTCTTTTAAATTCTTCACGACTTATCTTTTACCGTCCACGTTATGAAACCATACGATCCTCACAGTCGCGGCCACCGTTAGGCTACGCTATAATAATAATAATACACGATTATTTATTCATATAGTGGTATCGGCGGCGGCACCAGTGATATCACATACATCACTCAGTCATTAACTATATTATATGTATATAATATAATACATACTTACTTATACCTGTGACAAACCAAATGATCGTTACGTGATGATTATGACGACGATGGTCTTCACGGTGGCGTAAGTCTTACGTAAACTGTCGATTTGACCACGGGTGGCGCACTATTTTGACTGCTCTTACTAGCTAGCTAGCTAGCTAGCTACAAGTCACAGCAACGGCGGTTACAGGAGCAACATTTAGACGATGATTATGACTGGCATGTGGCTTATAAGTAAACCGACAAGCAGTCTTCCTGATCTTCTTCGTCTTATTAAGCAACTGGGTTTCCATCCACTAGAGCTACAATGGCCGTTGCGGCCGAGAGTTGACAAGTGGTGCGGGTAGATTTAAGGCAAAATCTAATGTCGCCTAGCATCGACAAAACGCCTCGGTGCTATTTGTCACGTCTAAATTGTCGTCCATCGGCATCATGTGCGTCTGCTTCTTTTGCAGCCGTTCTGTTCATTGCATGAAAAATGGTAGTTATTGCTGGCTTCTTCTCACATAGCAGAACAAATCATCAGCGATGGCAACGCCAGGGAAAGAAGCAGCTGTTGTACTTTGACTGCCGGTGTAGAATCCCGTGGCGGCTACCCGGCCTTAACTGCTACAACGATATCCACTGATATCACTGTTGTTGTTGTTGTTGTTGTTGTCGTCGGCGCTCGACTAACGAAGCGATCAACCGGTGGCCGTCGACTAGTGGCTGTGGGCCAACGATTACAAAGACAACAAGCCCATCCTGAATGTGTCGCCAAATGTTCCTTGTTTGTTGGACCGGCGCAGGCTGTTCGAGAACAGAGTCTGACCCAGCAGTGTTTCGACAGCGGTATACCAGTGGATATTGCTGGTTGTAACAGCATTTATGGCGGCCTTGCTATTCAACTTTGGTTGCATCGTTCACATTACGTAGCGTTACGTGGATAGGAAGTAACTCCTTTGCATTACCGTTCGCTCTTTCGTTCATTGTCGTCAGCAGCGGCCGCGCCGAGCGACATCTTCGTCTTCTTTGCGATGAAGCTGTAGCGCTACATGTCACAGCGCTGCTGGAATCGCGGCGATACTTGTTGTTTCGGCGGCGGTGGCCGTGACGGCTGAACCGAAGGCTCCTACTATTACTTATCGTCTCCCCGTACCGGCGTTACGCGTTCAATTCGTTACGTTGATTCAATTTAGCTTGACACAGCATAAGCGTTCACATTATCTTACTTGCAGAGACAGTCTCACGATCAAAAAGGAATTATGGCGCGAAGATAGAGGGCCACGAGCAGGAACTTGCCAATAGCAGCAACAGCTGTTACCAGCTGTCTCCATTGTCCAAACACAACTTAGAAAATGAACAACGACAAAACAAAAAGATAAACGAGGAGCGCCATGTCCCCGTGATAGCTAAATTGGCAAAGCATTTGCCTAGATAGTGATTCCTAGGTTCGAATCCGAATACAGACATACGACCATGTTGGAAGTCAGCCGTATGATGGAGTGCACAACGGCCTCAATGACGCCTGCAGGTACCTGTATCTAGACAACAATAGCAATAACTGACGATGTTTCCTTTACTGTGATACCTATATATACGCAAATGCCTCCACTTGGACCGCTTCGGTAAAAAACTCGAGCTGGCTAAAAGCTCGAAAGTTTCAGACGCTTCTGCAAATAGCTGTGTTTAGATATAGATGAATCTACAAATTAGCTTATCACAATGAGTAACTTGTGTTTTTCGTTCGTCAAAAAGCACGCCGTCTTACTCGAATTATAACCATGATTTAATTTATAACGTATTTACCGTTCTTCATAGCTTCTTTGGATCTCTCAATCAATTAATTTATGTCATCGACAAATGCAAATTATCTTAACATTAAAATCGTTGGATTTAAGCATATACCACGGGGCTACCAATTCTTTTTTGTCCTTCATATCGACGACGCAGGGACGCCATTCCTCGTCCCCGGTAACGATGTATTCAAGCTTATCATTGTAGGTGCGTGTCGCTCAGTGCCGGGTGAGATGTTAGGAGGGAATACGAGGTCGTATTTTTCCGCGATGTTCACTCAGTTCATGGGATGCTCAGGTTCTTCATTTTTGAGTAGATCCCGTAAATTCAAGGTGCATGTCAATATTTAGTTGCAGTCTATTTTATCGCCCGATTCACGAATTGTTTGTCGGCCATCTACCTTTATAAGTGTCCTCACTTGGGCCTCATCCATTTCGGATGCAAGTCTTGAACTTTGAAAATTAGTTTTTTTAGTTATGGACTCTTTCTAGTTATAGAGTCTGCAGTGCAAACGATAGGTGTATCCTGTGTTGCTTGTTGGCTTGTGAAAGGCGAAATGAAGCAGATGTCAAAAAACATCATTCTACTTCATTTCATTCAGAAACTTCCGTCCCTCACGCCTGAACTCGACATAAAATTTTGTTCATTGCAGAAATCATTACGTCGAATTTACAAAAAAGACTATATATATATATATATATATATATATATATATATATCGCTAGGTAGATCCCAAAAAGTATTACATAGTGATGTTTTTTTGCGAACGTATTTTTGTAATAACTGAAGGAATATCGGAAGCAATCTATATTAGAAATGATTATAATGCTAGGTTTCTTAGCGAAGTCCCGTAGGGATATCGAGAAGAATGGCATCTATCGTAGCGTTCCTCGCGTCTGATGCATACGCACACTCCATTTGGTTCATTAAAATTTGGAGTAATTTACTTAGTTACAGTATAATGATTTGGTTCAGGATACCTTCAGATTCCTTGATAACCGCGTTGTCAGCGTAAAAGGTCACCTTTAAAAGAATTTTGGCTTCTCGGACTCTCGCAGGTAGATCTTTCAGAAGCGCTAACGATAGTAAAAGTGGCTGAGGTTATTCCCTTGCGCAAGGTCTACAGTCTGAGGGAAGTGTAGCAGTTTTGTTACGTTATGTATTGATCTTTGTCTAATTTTTAGCACCAAATTCAAGGCTGTCTTGAAGTTTCACGAATACAGCGAGTAGGTGGCTGTGTCTGGCTGTGATATTGATCAATAAAGCCTCACAGGCCGTTATTCATGGTCAATCGCATGAAAGTTCTGCTGCTCATCTGAGATGATACCAACGACTTGTAAAAACTGCTTTACTCTTGTCGTTACCGGAAAGAATAGTAGTCTGTAGCGCACGCTCTTTTTTGCGATGCCAAACTACTCGAATATAGGTCACGATGAAAACATTATAGGTGAGGTGTTTTTTCTGGCCTTGATTCCACCCCGTACCTCATTTGAGTAAAAATCTAGACAGTGTCCACCGTAGGTTAGCCTTGATATATCTCTGTCCTCACTGATCGTCTGCTATCAATCCGCCGAACTCACGGGGAAGTATCGTTTATTTCAGGAACGTTTTAGTAATGTACTTCACTCATTATCGGGCACCACCATAGTTCACCCTATCTAATGTAGGCTAAATATCGGGCTTTCCCCTCAATATTGAATCGAGACGAGCTGATCAGCCACTTGCGGTCGATCGGAAAAGCCATTTGTGATGCTGTCACTCAACTTACTTATTGCTTGCTGGCGAGGTAATTGTGTCGTTGCAAAGTATAAACATTTCTGCATACAATCTTTAAGCGGCCTAGAGCAGGTCTTATTTTCGAGTATAAAAACAGGAGACAAGGGGCCCGCATTCGCTCCTTGCCAGTGGCAACATCCTTACAGTTGGTTGAAGCATACGCAAGATATAAGTGAAAGCATGTAGAATACATGCGTAGATAATTAATTTTTGTTGGTCGTTGAAGGGTGACTTCGAATATGAGCCGTTAGTTATTTCTATTATATACTAACGTAATTGTAGAAGCTGATATGCTACGATTCTGTGAAGGGACGTAGGATTTCTGTTTGTGAAGAGCCTATTATAATTACAGGAAAAGAAGAACACCTAACTCCTGCTGAAGGTTAATTTTATTCTGCCTTATTCCAGTATTGTAAGCGTATTTCTTATATTTACTTCACATCCACCATTTGATGGGTAGACTAAAAAATAAGCTCACATACTACGTGAGCATACACATTGCCGTGACGTAGGGTAATAACTTGTGTACATAAGTCGCTGAAGTATCTTAGAGACCTAGTCACAGTCAGCTTCGAAAAATGGCGTTATATAAGTGTTATGTAGCTCGTAGCTTGTACAATTACGGCGCCGTGGCGAGTCCGACCGTTACGATGTATACGTAGATCTAGATAAAACAGAAATCATTGCACATGTTACAACGCGCCGGAAGTGACGAAACTCGTACACGTTAATGATTCGTATCCAGGAGATAAAGAGAAAGTGAAGAACATAGAATACTGAATCGTGGCTTTCAAAGTACAAGGCGATTACCAAACTTCATATTGATATAGGCCTTCCGCAGTTTCAAACGACCACCGACTGTATACAAAATAAAAGCCAGATAAACCCAAATAAATGTTTAGGGTGTAATGTTAGTTTAAATGCATAATTTTTATTTAACAATATATTTATACTTGAATTGATCACCGTTTAGTACATCGATCATGATTTCTAAATGCTAACGAATACTGACAAGGCTTTTTGACCTCGTCCTAGTTACGCTTTGGCTAGATACCTGCGTCCAGATATTGATTGCATGTTCCATGGCCTGGATTGGCTGATTCGTCGATGATTGTGTATGCTATGGAAAGTTCCGGTTCAGATCGCTCAATAGTCTTGTGAGCAGCAGCTAGATAGAAGGTACGCCTGTTTCGAACACGCTGCTTGTAAGGACACGCTTTGTAGAATACGATCATGCAGGCTGTCAGGTCAATAGCTATCAATAGACGATCACCAACACATGAAAAGTCACTCAAATAGATCTGTTCGTTCATTTAATAAAGATTGTTGATCCATTGATCTTGTTGCCGAGACGAGTACCAATATAGCCGGTAAGTAGGAATTTGTTAAGTGGTAAATAGTAGATCGTTTATGGCCTACGATATCTGAGCGAGTTGCAAGCTTGCTAACAGTTTTACCTGGTTTTGGCCTATACGCGCAAGCATCGAGTTGCTGTTTCTTCATATGGCGAGAAGGCCGTAAACTGTTCCGATGAAGGCGACTGCTTCGATGATGGAATAGTTGTAACTTCACGATTGCTGCGCTTTGAAAAAGCTAAAAATATATATATATACACAGGCTCTGAACAGCTACTGAACACAGCAGCTGAACATGACAAAATTTCATTGTCGCGACGAGTATACTTTACGCAAGAGTATATGAAATATTCGTAGATTATCTGACGGTGGTAAATCGTGCTAATACCCGCTCATGATGTTACTTCGCTATTCGACTTACCATGACGAGGTGGTCAGCTCGACGCCATCTTGTTTGCTCTGTTCAGGTCAAGCTGATTCTACAGGATGGCATGACAAAATTGAGAATCTTTTTTAGCTTCTCTTTCGAAGGCTATATTTAAACAAAAAACGGTTACAATAGTGAAGTGTTTCACATAGTTTAAAAGTGTCGTTCTAAATTGTTCTGTGTATTCAATGTAACCGTTATTTATTGCAGTTGAAGTTTAAATTAAACCACAAATTAACCTGCTTTCTTCGACCTGCTTTAGAAGTAGTTGCGCGTCAAGCGATATTAGTAGGTATAAACCCACTGAAGTGTTGCTTGTTTAAGCTGCACACGAGACAAAATTCTAGCGGAATTAAATCTAAGGTTGATAACTGTCCTAAGAATTGAGGGGCTCGAAACAATCGGATAGCTTGACAGGTGGAAAAATAACATAGAACAATTCAAAATGGCCAATTGGCAGTTCATGTTTCGCCTTGTACGACGATCATTAGCCTCTGTATCAAAGACCACATGTATAAAAGATGGCTGTTTGAGCTATTATCAGGGACTTTCCAGCCCTTCAAATCTAGACCATATTAAAAATTGTTTGTAAGTCGCTTTCATATATTTTTCAAGCCTCATGAACCACAGATTTCAGCCAAAGAAAGGAAGTTTCTAATCTTGATCGTGTTTGCCCAAGACGGACAGATTAAATCACGGCTGATCTCCGCTCGAACTTTGAAAACGACGCACTGTTGTTCGCTATGACGGTCTGCTGTTTTGTTTTAAAAAGAACTGACCCATGTCTGGTACCAGGGGTAGCTAATGAATGGATGGAAATCGTCGAAATCTCACGTGACGCAGTACTCTTTAGATATAATTGTAATGAACTGTTATCTCCTACATATAAATTATAACAATTCTAGATCTACCTATTACGTGACGTGTTTCTCATTTGTTATACTAAACAATTTGACTTGTATATAAAAAGCTCTCATTTTAAATATAAAGCATTTGCGCCCACGTACGTGAAATGAATAGTTGATATTTCTATGAATTTTCGAAGAACTCTGCCTTGGGCGGAGAAAACCAGTTGCTTTTTTCATAGCTCTTTTTACTAAAACATAATGCGAATAGTTTTTTTTTTTCAACATGCACGATATCTCTAAGAGAGAAAGAAAAACAGTATTTTATAAATACCGCTTTAGAACATCTTCCGTTAAGAGATGACAGTGTCCAGTATTTCAGCATTCTTCGATATACCGGGCTTATTTTCTATTATATGATACAAGATCACATTTATGATGGTTGTCTACCTCGCTGAATTTTCATCTTGCAGAGAGAGAGAGAATATGCAATGCAATTACGCGTCGATATATACACCGAACAGTGTATGCACGTACATGCAAACGAAGACTTTGTTGTGGCGGAGCAGCATCGATAAAAGATAGATAAAAAAAAAAAAAAGCCAAGCTCATCAGCCTGGCTGAAGTGCGGAAAAGCCAAAGACGAATATGGAAAAGAAACGGGATAAACTGCAACATTAAGCTCGCGAATTTCGTAAACGTTATATTGCATTCATTAGACGCTAAGCTAGTATCACTGTGGCTTAAAATTGTCGGGCATAGCAACTCGCGATTGCTTCACGAAGTACGCTCTTTGAGGATGTTCTTCGTATCAGCATTAGCAGTCGAAACGCGGAGCCGAACAGCAGTGGCCGATGCAGCAATCCCTGTAGTGGTCCTTAATTGTAGGCGGAACGTAAAGGAGAACGTACGTAGGAGAGTCACAGCTAATACAAGATAGAAAGAAAGATGGGGAGGACAAATGTAGCCGCTATCTCGCTAGCGCTACTGTTGCTGTTTAGGCCATGCTATCAGACAGAATCGACGTGCATGTATACACGCATGCGTTACACTGTACCCGTAAGTGTGCTGGCTTGCTTACGCAAAAACCGTGAGACCGAAAGTCCCAGACGCGTGGGATAAAAATAACATTTTGCGTTTGCGAGAAGATTAGAGAAAAGTTGTGCAACGATAATACGGAGCTTATAGACAAGACAGCTATAACAATAACTGTAGCTAAGGCAAGTATGAGATTACAGGACTGAAGAGAAAGTAATACATAGTATCTTATATATATATATATATACACGTTTCTGAACAATCGCCATTTGCGACGCTTTATGCCCCTGTGCTTTTTAAAAACCAACATAAAATGCGTTTAGCATTCATCATGCCATTTTTTTCATTTTAGCCTTCGCATAGACAGTTCTTTATCGGGAGACGCTTGAACGTTACGCTCGTGTCTAGTCCCTTGAATGCGATCCGGCATTAGTATCTCAGTGTAAAGAACTTGGGTAAGCTCCTGTGTCCATTTGCCCTTGGACATGTTCATTTAGGCATATGAGCTCGTAGTTATGCAAGTGCTGATTGAGTGAGACTTGAGTCAGCAATGTGTGACCCATTTGACGTTTTTTATATCTGACAAGGCTTTAAGAATCACTTGTTTACGTTGGAAAATTTTACTATATTGATGATAGTACAATAGTGACACACCAAATTTATTAAGTAGTATGCAGCACAAAAATAATTTTGTCTTGAGGTACGAGCCCTTCCTAACCTATAAAAGATTTTGTCAACAGTACGCTTCAGCTCGAGCAGTTACTATCTCCAATATGAACTTCTTATAAGGATATGATATGCGCAGGATCAGGTATCTATATTGTTGATATCTCGTTGACAGTAAACAAGATATATATATATATATGTATATATATTATCGTGCAATATTTTTTAATAATAACTGTTCAGTATAAGCATCAGCTTCCGCTCGAATATACTTAGCACTTCCACCTTTCCTTCTGCCCGAAACTTTGACATCTATTCCTTTGTCGGGTCCTTGTTTGGTGTAGTACACGGACATTGTCTCATTACGCATAACAATATTTGGCTTAGACTTAGTTTGTAAGGAAATCATTTTTTGTTTTTTTTTTTCACATTTGTATTGACGTGATGATTGCATTGCATTATGAGGGCTTAAAAACACATGCTTCGGTAAATCTCACACTGAAGTGCCAAGGAGCGCAATATTTACTTTGTACACAGATGCGTTTATCCGCAAAGAGCATAACTGGATGGAAATTCGTCCAAGGGAAGATGCAGGCAAACGTGGTAGAAAACATGGTTTTGTCATTATATATATATATATATACATACATGAAGATCAGCTACTACTCATTCTTTTTGCATCCAGTTATAGATCAATCTTCTTCGGTTATCAAATCGACATAGCCGCAAGCGATTGTGAAAGAAATAAAATTAAGTACTAGAACAGCTCGATGGGAAATACGAAAACAGACAAAAATAGCGCGAACTTTAAAATCAATCGACGCTGCCCAAAAGTGTATCTGTAATAATGAAAAAATTTTATGCAGATGAGACTACCATCCTACCGGTAGCTCACGAAACCTCAGCTAAGCATCATATATTTTAAAATAGAAACAGATAATCTCTAAGGTCGTTAAAATCACAAGGCTCGTCCAATATAGTTTGCATCTCTACTCCCTCAAAAATATAGCGGCAGGTCCTCTCCGATTCTTCTCTGACGAGAATATGTTGTTGATGCAAGCATTAAGCGTAGGAACGATTGCTCGCTTCTTCACCGTCCATCTATGGTTAGAAACAAATTTGCCACATGTGGTCGGCTTTTGACTGTGGCGTCCGGTGAATAGGGCATCATCGCACCGTACTTTTTCCTGTAAGGCGATGCCATCAACAAAAAAGTTCATCTGCGTATTCTATCAGCTTCTGTGCGACATCTTGAATAGGCACAATTTTTAACGAAAGGCCGTACGTTTTCTAGCAAAATGGTGTGCTGCCATCTATTGGCCAGTTAGTGAAGCGTCGGCTGTCTAAAGATCTGAGCATGTTTAAAAGCAGGCACATGTCGTCATTGAGCATCCCAGACTTGGATTGGCTGCGTTACTAGGTACTATTGAACAAGAGACATATTGAAGTTTCGACATGAGAACGTCGACGCGCGCTGGATATTATGTTATGGAGAAAATGTTTACCCAAACGCTAACACGAGAGAAATTCAGCCAATTGTGAACAGGAATTGTATTGAATAAACGGGATAGTCACGATTGCAATTTTTAGCTGAAAGACGTTAAATAAACATGTTATGTAGATACCTATTTTAACTTAGCTTTCAAAATAGGAAAGTTTCTAATATATAATTTACCTAGATTCCACTGATGATGTAACAAAGCGTTGCGAATAAGATGTTTGTAATAAAAAAAAATCTTTGTTAACAACCTTAATACAAGCCAATAGAAATGGCCCTTTTTGCAGCTTACGATCGTACTATCCGAAACTCAACTTTCTCATCTTCCCTTAACTATCATTCTATATATTGTGATCCTTTTATCTTAAAATGCACAAAAAAGCTTCATAATTGCTTAAGCAGCTCAGGTACACCTATAATAGACACGTGCCTATCATGCGCTACTTATTATAAAGCTCCTTCACAAAAATAAGTAGAATTCTGAATAACTGTTGTTTCTTTTGCTTACGCTTTTTTTAGTATGTTATATTGACATAAGAGTGAATAGCTACAAACAGACATTTATGTAAATTTTTAATGACAATTGGCCAAGATAAAAGAAAACAAGCGTCTCAATTTAAATACGATGCAGTGAGACTAGCCCTCTTTATTAATATTTGAAACTCCCGATTCAGAGAATTAAAAAAAGTACCGACAATCAAGACAGAGAATTACGCAAGAACTTAGAAGCAAGAAGTTACGATAGAACAAACTCGCAGTCTATTTTAATTAGGGAGAGGCAGGTAGCTCTATTTCAGTCCTCTCTTCCCGTCCCCTAACCTATAATCGACCTTAAATAGCCTCCACAAAGTAATTTAATCAGCGCCCTTTAAACAAAGCAATGTAATGGTTTATTAAAGGCCTGCGAATTCGTTGCCAAGGCTAACAATGAACTTCGTCCTTAGTCCTGGTAGCGCAGATACTGGCAGCCAACGTAGATGAAATACAGACCGGGCGGATTGAATAGGATCCACATTGGGAGTTATCAACGACACTGCAATGTGACAGTATGACCAGTATAATTATTGCTATCCGCACCGATCTAACTGAGAAACATCTATACGTCACGTTCGAAAACCTCAGATTAAAAATAGAGCCAATCAGTCATCATGATTTCCGTCGACGCTGCTGAAACTATGACACTGTGCAATTTATTATGGGAACTACTGAAGTAAATACTATTTATCTTTGCTACACGCCCGCACGCGCGGCCATCTTGAATTTTCTTTGCCGACTATCCGATGCGCGCGCAACATTCAACGAGTTCTATAGATGGCATAGTACAACCACTGAATAAATGAACGATCATCATTTTTAATGTGCCGCGATCGCATTGATGGTTGCACTCGCCATTATACTGAAAGAAACGATGTAAATCGACTGACTGGTTTCCCGGAACACCAAACAGCATAATAAAAAAATACGATTTTTCATCGTAGCCATCTTTTTGGAACTTTGCAAGTATATTGAATTCGTCGAGTGTTGTAATACTGTTGAAATTATCAACTGCAGCTGGAAAATGACGTTTGCCGACAGAGTCCGCATCACTCGTGAGGAAAATACAAGCCACGAATACGTACAATGTTTGACTATATACAAAATGTCCCTAAGGCATTTTAAAAACATCAATTCAACTGTATTCATACATAGTGTTGCATTATAACCGAACCCGGCATGTTATGCAATAGTACATTCTAGGGTTTGCCCTCCGTTCTAAACATACACAAATGGAAGACACGCAATAAGGTCAAATAATTAAGCGATAAGTGCAGATATTCAAATAATTTGCTCCTTTTTTTATACCTTCCGCTTATTAATTTAGTAATAATTTGAATCGTTGCAGATATTTGTATCTTTAAATCTCGTATCTGAGGCATGTGACGAGTCGTTATTATCCATTTACTGGTTGGATTATTGACCTGGTTGCTAAAATGACTAAAAAACAAGGGAAAAATAAAGAGGGTACAATGATAAAATATCGTCAATGCAATTGGGACATAAGCAATCTTCCAAACCTCGATGAAGTGCCACGAGTGATTGAAGGGGTCGATTGCTCTTATTGTGCAGGTACATATACTACATAAATATATCTGAGAGCTACTAAATCTAGTAGTTGTAGTAACGTTTGTGATTTTTACCGCACAAAAATCTACTTTGTTGCACATTGCAGCCTTCGAGCGTACAGGACACAAGTTACGTTATACTGTAGTAGCCTGAAACGTTAGCATAAGCATCGTGTCCTGCTGTTCCCTTTGAATATACTACACCCGCTTATTTGAGACTCGAACGAAATATCATGATTCCTTATATATTTATGTGCACTTACAATAACCC